GTCACTTCCTTTAGAAGTAAAAATTGTGTTTCTGTGCTACAGTGTATTTTACTGATTAGGTAAATTAATAAACTTTAAACATCTACTTGACCAAATAATAAGAAAAGAGCTTTGTTGTCATCAAGGAGTGGTACAGGAAGATTCCAGCAATTGATAATCTTTTATGAGAGTCAAGCATAAATGTTGTTTTGGTTAAAGCATTGTATTATGTGCTGTGATAAAGACTTGACTATTCCCCGGTAGTCATATCAAAAGGTAACAAGTGAAGCTATTCTGCCTGACATGATTCCTTTATCCTGATGTTGTTGTTAAGTGCCGTCCAGTGGATTCTGACCCATAGCGACCCTGTATAGGGTTTCCAAGGAGTAGTTTGTGAGCTTGAACCACCGACCTTGCAGCCTGGCACATTAACACACAGTGCCACACCATGACGCCTGATAAGCGCTAATGTATGCTTGGAACTTGTCCCCCAATTTTCAGAGGCTTAGGATAAGCTATGGACTTCTAACCACAAAGCCGGCAGTTCAAACCCACCAATCATTCCTTAGCAATGCTACACAAGGTCTCTATGAATCAGAACTGACTCAACGGCACTTAACAAGTGTCATTTTTAGTAAGAAATCACAGGCTTATTGTCAAGGTTAGTATTTTAATTATCTACTAGTATATAACTATAACATCAAAGTTTTGTTTTGTTATTAAGTACTGTCGAGATAATTAGCAGTTGGTGAGTTTGAACATCAAAGTTTAGGGTCTTATAAAACAATCATTTTACTTTTCCTATAATCTTGTAGATGAAGAATTTGGGACAAGTTTGCCTGGGCATTTTGTGTTTTGGCTCTTCATGTTACACCAGCAAGGGTTGTTGGATTAGAAGATCCACTTCTAAGATGACTTCTTCACTACGTGTTTGGTGCCTTGAGGCTCCTTAGCCATGTGCCCCCTACTTGTTGTTGTTGTTAAGTGCCGTTGAGTGGACTCCGACCCATAGCAACCCTGTACAGGGTTTCCAAGGAGCAGCTGGTGAGCTTGAACCGCCGACCTTGCTGTTTGATGCATTAACCCATAGCGCCACCCGACAGTACTCCTCAGGACTCCTACTTAGCAATCTATTTTATGGGGTTTCTCACATGATTGAGGCATCTCACAACATTGTTATACTAGTGTGGTGACACTTCTTATATAGTTCTGGCTTTTAAGGCATAGGAAATAAAGCTGTTAAGCTAGTTAACGGCTATCCTCAGAACTGGCACAGTGTCACTTCACCAAATTCTATTGGTCAAAGCAGTCACACGTTACCCCCAGATTGAAGGAATGGTGAAATGTCTCTACCTTTCAGTGGGGAAGTGCCAAAGTCATTGCAGAAGAACACAACAAACGTTGTTTTGACTATCTTTGGAAAATACAATCTGTCATAAATAATAACAGCCATACCCCTAGTCTTAACCTAATCTGCATACCCCTATCATAACTAATCCACCTCTGTCTCTTTGTCTCACAAACACTGTTAATTTCATAGAGCTTTTTTTTTTATTTCAGGTTTTTATTGTGGATTGAGTGAAGGTTTATAGGGCAGATCATCAGTTTTACATTTAACAAATCATACACCTTGTTTCATTGCAATGATTATAATCCCCTCCATGTACCATCAGTTAACAATATTTTTCTCTATTCATTTTAGCTTTAAAAAAACAAAAACAAAAAAACCCACTCAGGCATTTATAAAAGTTAAATCTCCAAAGGGCATATTCTGCAAGTCTGCCTCTTGGCCACCAGCTCTTAGTCCATTTCTTCCCATGACTCTATAGAGTCCTCAGCCGCTCCCCCTTTCCATGGCCCCATCTCTGCCGGTGTCTCTGCTTCTCTGGATAAGGTCCCACATTCTGCTTGTACTCTTCAGCCTTGATGGTCCTAGGGTCCTCTGTTTCTGGACTGTAAGATTAACCACTCCCCTGTTTTTGTTACAAAACTTCTACCTTTACAATTGTGACAGTTGCTATTAGTCGTGATAACAGTTATTCACTATTGAATCATATGAATCTTATGCCCATCTCTTTTCACTAGACCCATCTAGACAAGTGGGGACTCTTTCTCCACCCTTCCCACACTTTCTCTTTTTAAAATGTTTTATTGTGTATTATGTGATAGTTTACATGGGAGAACATTAGTTTACATTCATCCTATTGTATATCATTTCATTGCCATGGTTCCAATCCCCTCCATGCATCATCAACCATCCAAAGTGTATACCCTGCAAGCCTGCCCCCTGATTATCAGCATACAGCTCCTCTCCCTCTCTGGGTCTAGAGTCCCTAGCTGCTCCATCTCTCCACATTATTGTCTCTGCCTTCATCTCTGGTGTCATTGCCTCTCTGAGTAGTGTCCCACTCTCTGCTGTTCTCCTTTGATGGTCCCAGGGACCTCTGTTCCTAGACTGCAAAGTGAATCCTTGCTACAAAATATCTACCTTTACATTTCCAAACCTCACAGTCAGTCCTGATAACAATTATTCACCATTGTATCACAAGAAACCTATCCGCATTTCCTTTCATCATCCCTGCCTAGACAGATTGGATACTACTCAGGGGAGATTCTACCTTCCTCCATGCCCTCCATGCCCTTTGGATCTAGGCTCCCTCTTGAAAGCTTGTAAGCCAGTCACTTCTTGCCTTTGTAGTACCCCCACTTTGGGTAGCCAATGTCCAAGTTGTCCATCCCTGTTTACTTTGTGTATGGAGGGGGTTAATTTCATAGAGCTTTGTCAAGCTAAATAGAAGCTCAATAAAATAACTTAATGCTCTACTAATGCTTGATGACATTATAGGAATAGACCAAGGAACAAAATCATTTATGTCAGCCGAGTGTTTCATACTGTCATTTGATAAAAATGACTCCTTGTTACTGTTGTGAGGCTCTTAAACTAAGCTCTGTTTAATGAAAAAAAGGATAAAGGATTATGAATACTAATCAAAATGCAACAAAAAGCAATTTATTTAGCTGAATTGTACTGGAACTTGATTTAATCTTAAATTCTGCCTGTAGTTTCTCATGATATCTTTCTTTCAACAAACTAAAACACATAATGAATAGTTATTAAACAATAATTATATAGTTATCATGTTACCTAAAATGCTGTGAAGGTCATAAAAAAATATAACAATTTACTTTATCTTCAAAGAAAATTTGTTTCACTATAAGGGGATAGGACATTGATAATGGAAAGTTAGACAATAGAGGAGTTTAAGAAGTAACATATTGTAGTAATACAAGTGCTATCTGAGATATTTAGCCTAATAAAAAGATGAATGCTTAATTTAAAAAAAATTGCTATGAAATTGAGAAGATAAATTGGCCTAGGTCTTTACGAATCTGTGACAAAACACTCAGTGAAGAAAGTGTGGGACTTTGTCTGGAACCTCTTAGAGTGGTTAGGAAAAAAAGACCTCTGTGCCTTTTTTGCTGCCTTTTCTGCATTATATCACCTCTTAGGTATTTGATAATGGGGTAAGGAGAAGACTTCATTATAGAAAATGGAAGAAGGCTAACTTCTGCTTTATCTACCTTAAAATTTGGAGTCCTGCTGTGGCGCTAATGCGTCAGACTGCAAAATCATTTGAACTGCAAGGTCAGTGGTTCAAGCTCACGAGCTGCTCCTTGAAAACCTTATACAGGGTTGCTATGTGTCGGAATTGACTCGACAGCACTTAACAACAACAACAACAGCCTTGAAACATGGAGTCCTTGTACAGCACTGTAAGATAAGCACTGAACTGCAAGGTTGGTGGTTCAAACTCACCAGCCGCCCCTTGGTCTTTGAAATTTGCTTATAATACTCAAAGATCCTGATGTACCTAGCTAAGCTAACACATTTGTTTTATCAGGAAGAATATTGTTTGTTGAAAGAGCTTAATTTTGATTAGTGTTTACTTTTATTTCAGCTTGTAGATAAATATAGTGAACACTGGGATAGTTTGGAACTGAAGCATTCAGCCTGCTCTGGGGAACCTGCTAGATGCTTCAGAGAGAGGAGGGTAAATAGTGCTGAGAGGACTGGGGTCTTGACTGTCTCACCCCTCTCCATATATATATCAACAATATTTGTTCCAGTTAAGATTTTAATTTGCAAAAAGATCTGATGGTTAAAATAATTTACAAGTTACTGCCTTAGATCAGTGCTGTAGGATCAGTTCTAGACTGTTAACCAGTTGGCAGTTCAAGCCCACTGACCACTCTACAGGGTCACTCTGATTAAGAACGGACTCAAAAACATTTAACAGCAACATGGTTGTTTAGTAGTACAAGGTAGCGTCAAAGAGTTCCTGGAAAAATTCTGTTATTTTTTAATTCTAATTTTCCATGAACTGTTTGAAGACCCCTCATATTTATGGGAAGTGCTGCTTTCAGATACTGTATTTATTAAAAAGTGACATTTCTGATACTGTCTGTAAACCAAATTTTAAAAGTGTTTCTGATGAAAATAATTTCATTACTTTTTGTGGCTAAACCAAAAGTTCTTGATGTTAGTTCCAGAGATTTGTTTTCTTCTTGGGGAGTATACATCATTAAACTATGGCAACCTAGTAGGCTGTTCCTGTAAAGATTATTGTTGTTGTTGTTAAGTGCTCATAGTGATCAACTCATATAGTGATCCTGTTTAGGGTTTCCATTGAGCAACTGGTGGTTTTGAACTGCTGACCTTGTAGTTCAAACCAACCTTGCAGTCCAGGGCTTATCCTGTAATACCATACCAGGGCTCCCGTGTAAAGATTAGAACCTAGGAAATCTAATGAGAGAAATTCTGCTATATCACATGGGGTTGCTATGAGTTGAAAACCAACTCAACAACACCTAACAACAAGTTTAACAATGTTGAAGTCTTTTGTTATCAAATAGGGACAGTAAAATTATATGTTATATTTTCTAAATATGGGATGAGTTGGTTTCTACCTAGAACTTTCTGGTAATTTTGTGTGTGTATTTTCCTTTTATTTCCTGTACAGTTGAGGAAGATTGGGGGTGGGGGCTTTGGAGAAATTTACGATGCTTTGGACATGCTCACCAGGGAAAATGTTGCATTGAAAGTGGAGTCAGCTCAACAACCAAAACAAGTCTTAAAAATGGAGGTTGCTGTATTGAAAAAATTACAAGGTAAGTTTCTTTGTATGATATGCTAAATAATTTATAATTCATTGTTATTCTGATACCTGATTACACTCTGTAATCACTAATTGAATATTCTGGTGTTGGTTAGATATAAGTATTGGAGTAGTTTTCTTGTAAATTTTATCAGTAGCTAGTGGTGTTAGGTGCCTTGGTCAAGTTAGATCCAACTCATAGTGACACCCTAGGTACACCAGAACGAAACATTTCCTGGTCCTGCACCAGTCACTCAGTCTTTCCTATGTTTGAACCCATTGTTGCAGCCACTGTGTCAATTCAGCTCATTGAGGGGCTTCTTCTTTTTCACTGAACCAATAGCTAGTTGCAGTGTAAATACTGTAATTGGTAAGAATATATGTACTTTACAAATGGAATATTATGCTACATTGAAGAATAACAAGGAAGCGGTAAGCC